ATTCAATCAGCTTCTTTGCTAGCAGTTAGCAAGACTTAATATTTAATTTAAAAACTGAAAACATATGCATCTACTGCAACATTCTGATAGCCACTTTCAGTGGATTTTTGTCAATTTCCCAATAGCATCGAACACTCTGGCAAATGGGCTCAGCTTCTTGGGTGTATTCATCCATAGTGCATGCTTCTGTTGATAATTTATAATTACATTTGCCATAGAGCTCAGCATAGGGATGTGAAGTTATAGGAAAGACTAGAACTGTTGAAGAGGAATGTGGAAGATTAATAAGGAAGTGCTTACAAACTTTATTCCCAACTGACAATGCTTAAGGTACTAGTTTTTACAGGATCACATAAAGAAATATATCTGTGATAAAATTGTAAGTATAATTTTCAGCTATCCACATAAGATTCAAAAATTTTGGCTCCTTAAATTTGACAGGGATTCAGATCAGCACTATGCTGAAGGTAGATAAGGATTATTCTAGTTCAGTGCTTCTCAAACTAGTGTGTATGTACTCCCAAGGAGTCTGTCTGGTAAATACAGGATGCTGCATTTAGAAATGCATCTCTTTAGACTGTCAGTTTCACTAAGTGTCAGAGGTGGGTGTCTTGAGTTTTTGAACTTTACAAAATTTTTATTGCATGCATGCAAAAGCAAAAGTATTGTGAAGAAAATGTTTCGTGAATAAAAATGTTTTTGCTCCTGTGGTATGGAGGTGCATGGTGCTTTTCATACCAGCTAATGAACATGATGAACAGGATGCAACAGTATAGCAAAATATGCTGATGTGATTGATTTGTATCATTAAGGCTTGTTTGCAAAAAAAATACATACTTCAGTGTAAATGTGTGATTTTTTTTCCCACCGGGCCTTCAAGAGTCCAAATAGTTTATCCACACACATATACACATATAAACACTATTACTATTATGGTTTATATCTAGATGTCCCCCAAACCCTGATACATTTTTGGGGGTGGTTGAATCAGGGGAGAGTGCTATGCATCAGGATATTAGTCCACTCATGAATCTATAGCTAAATGTGATGTTGGGAGGTGGTGGGTCACTGGGGGTGTGGCCTTGGAGGGTTTCTCTCCCTCTGTCCTTCCTTGATCCCTTTCTCTGCTTCCTGTTGCCATGTCTTGAGTTGTTTCTTCACTGCCATGCCCCTCTGCCATGCCACACTGTCTTGGAGCCAGCCAACTATGGACTAAAACCTCAAAAAATTATGAGCCAAATAAATCTTTGATTTTTAGAGTTGTGGGTGTCGGGTATTGTGTCTCAGTGATGAAGAATGTAACTAAGACACATACACATAGGTGTTCATTCCTTGATTAATGAAAATGAAATTAATCCCTTTACAAAGTAGCATTTGAAAACACTTTGGTTACATGAAGCATCCTTGGCACCTATGAATATGTTCAATTTCTTAAGCTGCAGTCACTTAATCAAAGTTTGCTTTCTAAAATATGAGATTAATATGTCTCGATTTAGGTTCCTGAGAAATTTAGGGATATAGCATAGGGTACATATTGGAGTTAAAATCCAACACCCAGAAAAGTTGGGTATTTGACCATCATTTCTATCTGCCATTTGAAACTATCTGTGCACCATTTCTCTTAAGAATTTGCAGCCTGTTCTTCCTGCTGTCAGGCTGAGTGGGCTCTTACACCAGAAAGATTTCAGGCAAAGATTTGCTGGTGCTCCCACCAGGCAGCTTTCAGTGTATAAAGTTGATTGCCCAGAGGATGGGGAAGAGAGGGTGCCACAGCATCTGTGGCTGTCACTTTAACAATAAACAACAACAAAAAATTACTTGAAGCTTTCTTCAATGTCAATGCCAAGGTCAGCCTTGGTATTAGCACAGAAAGTAAAACTCAACAAGGAAATATTTAGTGATGCTCTGTGTGGTGGATCTGGTCATATTTGTCTTAGATCACAAAGAAATGATGTCTAAGAGTTGCTTTTATTAGGTATTCAAGAAATATATTTTATTGTAATCCAAATATATTCAGAATAACTCTTTGGAAAATGGAAGTGAACTTAGTTCTTTAATAGTATCTGGCATCAAAATATACCTATTAATATTCATCCTCATGAAGGCACACAGGAAGAGATGCTAATTGGAAAAATGTATAGTTTTGTAATACATGGTGAAGAAGTGTTCAGCCAATAAATATTTTCAGAAGTATGCTGTTGACCTGGAAAAATATATGTGGCTGAACCCAGATGGAGAAAAAGGGAAGATGTGAAAAACCTGCTATGAAGGTCATGCTGCCCTCTCCCCAGGGGCAGCTGGTGCAGTTTGCAGCTGAACACCAAGCCCAAAGGATGCACCTCTTGATTTTTTTAGTGTCTAAAAGAGGTGCTAAAAACCAATATTTGTTTAATGTGATAGTTTGAAAAATTATTTTAGAAAAACTTATTGTAGAATATAAATGCTCACAGTTGGATGCCAGTCTTACTCTGGTCCAAAGAGCACAGTCCTAGTAATCACAAGTAATTTCAAAATATTTCTTGTGTTTATTGAACAAAATAAAGAGGTTTGGTGTAGCAATTTTTGTCTTTTCTCACCAGAGTTGCTCATTTTTTCTCTGAAATATTCAAATATGGTTCCTTTCTTCACCTGTGAACTACATTATGTCTTCTTTCTTACCATTACTGTTTCATATTCACAAAAGCCTAAGCAGTGTATGGGGAGGAGGAGCTTTTTCTGGGACAGAAGAGTACAGACAGCTACAGAAAGCAGGAATGGAGAAAGAGAAAAAGCTTGGCATGCTCATACAGTAACCATTGTGATCCCATCCAATTTGTAATGAAATGAGAAGTGACTTTGAAAGCATATTCTTCTAAGTAAATGGGTACTTTATTGCCAATAGCAATAGCCCAAGCTCTGGAAAACCTTAAAATCCTGTTTCTACCTGTGAGATCTTTGGATTTTTCATATGTAAAACACAGGTAATTGTAATACCTACTAAATAGGTTTGCTAAAGTATTAAACGGACACTGCTCATAGCAAATATATAATAAATGTTACCTATAAATATCATCTTCCCTCCCCCATTCACCCCTCATTTTTTTGCATTACTAGGAATCAAACCCAAGGCCTTCACACTGAGCTACATCCCCAGCCTTTAAAAAAATTTTTTTTTTAAATCTTGAGACAAGGTCTCACTAAATCTTTAAATTGTTCAGCCTAGCCTCAAACTTGCAATCCTCCTGCCTCGGCCTCTCAGAGAACTGGGATTCCAAGTATGCACTACCATGCCCAGCTATCATCACTATTTTTACTTCGTTAGATGACTTAGTGGGGAGAAAATGCAGGCGTAGATAACTTTGTGTTGCGTTTGTGTGAGTGCATGTGTTTTAAATTAGAGAAAACAAGGCATCACGGTGAGGGGTAGAAACCTGGAGACATTGCATACATTTTCACCCTTAGGATATAAAAAAAAGAGCTGACTACGTTGACTTATGTAGCCAACTCTTTCAATAAACATCAATATGGTAAAAATAAAGGTTTCACATTAACTGACATAGTTGAGCTGACATTGACATTGAAATTTGAGAGTTCACCGAATAAAACTGTGTAGGGTCTGTGAGTTTTATACTTCATTCACTTACAACTGATGGAAATTTCAGAATTAGCATTAATTATGCAGCATAACTACAAGTCCTTTTATTTACTAGAGAAAGCTTTCGTAAATTGTGAGGCAGAAGAGATTGAATCAGAAATTTCAGTAGTAAGACACTATGACTGAAATTCCCACCATGAGTACCAAGCACGATGTCACTTCTTTGGCGTGATTCTGGGCAGAACACTACAATGGTTTTCCCAGAAATAGCTCAAACAGCATTACCAAGCTGGTGCCATCTGCATCCATGGGTTTATGTGAGCCTGAAATCTCTGTTACTTGAGCTGACAGAACTTCAGGTGAACATTAAAGACTTAGAGTGTTGATTATTCTAGCAGATAAGTGGGTTTGTATCCATTAGAGCGGAAGACAACATGCCCCAAAAGCCTGGATAGTTTTTTGTTTTAGTTTTCAACATCAGACCAGGAAGGTGTAGTATGTTTTGTGACAATGATCAAAATATACAAGGTGTGATTGAAATATACAGTGAATGTTTAAATAAAAATCTTTACAGTGAAAGACACAATGCCATTAATCCTCCTCGAAGTAGTCCTGCTCACTTCACACACACTTATCCTACAGTTCTTGCTACTTTCTGAAGCAGTTCTGGAAGTCCACTTTCATCAGTGTCTTTACAAGATGTGATAAAAAAATATATAGGGAAGGCTACTACCAAGTACTGTCCACCAGAAAGGTGGGTTTGTAAAAACATTATTGTTTATCCTCAGCTACCTTATTCACCAGATCTGGCATTGAGTGACTTTTGCTTCTTCTGAAAGTCAAAATGACCACAAAAGGTAAATATTTTGAATTAATTCAGGACATGGAGGCAGCCAAGACAGCACATCTAAAGAAATTCATGAAAAGCAATTCCAGCACTTCTTCAGAAAGTGGCAAGATCAGTGAAATAAGTGTGTTTGAAATGAGGGAATATTTTTGAGGGGCTTAAAGGCAATGTGCCTGTCTTAGTTACTTTCTTATTGCTGGGACACAGTACCTGACTCACACAGATTAAAAAGAGGAAAGACTTATTTTGGCTCACAGTTGGTAGAGGTTTCAGTCTGTAGTCGATTGGCTCTAAGGTAAGTGGCAGGGCAGAGGGGTGTGGCCGAGGTTTGCTCAAGTCATGGCAGGCAGGAAGCAGAGAAAGGAATCAAGACAGGACCAAGGGAGATTTAGACCCAGGTTCCATTCCCAGTGACCCACCTCCTCTGACCAGATCTTACCTCTTAACAAAAAAGCAGCTGTAAACCCCCAAATCCAATCACCTGTGAGTGCATGAGCTTTGGGGGAGATTTTAGATATAAATGTAGCAGTATCTTTTACTGTAATGATTTACAATTTTTTTTATTGTATTTTATACAAGACATACATCAATATGCGAAAAGTAGTATTGGAGAGAGTATAAGATGTACCACAATTCAGATATCCTGTGGCCAACACAGCCAGAACTTAATCAGATCACTGGAATTTACTGCAAGTACCTGAAAGGTAAAGAAGTAAGAGCTGATTGAAGTGACCTCTCTCTGCTTCGGCACTGACACACACACACACACACACACACAAACACACACACACGTCCTAAACTATATATTTATGCTGAACCAACAACTTTTTTGGATGCCTTCAAAGCAAGAAATGACTAAGCAGAGAATCATTTAATAAAATATATGGAGAGAAAGTCAACCATACACTTATAATGCGTGTTATTCTCATACACAGTACAGAATTCAGAATCTCAACTGTACACTGTTTGAGGGAGAGTGGCCCGTAGGACACACCCAGCCCATGTCCACCTTATGGAGGATTCCAAACTCCTAGATAGCTCAGAAAAGAATTGGAGAGATCACAGGTTATCATTTTGTCCTACTGTGAGAACTTTCTGCTTTACTCTTTTTTTTTTTTTTTTTTTGGTTCCAGGGATCGAACTGAGGACCTTGCACTTGCGAGGCAGGTGCAGCACCACTGAGCTAAATCCCAGGCCCTCTGCTTTACTCTTACACTTCCTAGAACAAACTGACATGGCCAAAAGTGTTTTTGCAGATTTTTTGTTCTAGGCAGGAGGTAGTGAATACATAAAATCCTCATTCATCCTAGAAAGCATTATATTTAGAATGAACACATGAAAAATGAAAGCAGAAATTTTTCTAAGCATTTGAGTGACTTTCAGTCAACAATGGAAAGAGAGTGGATCTGTTGTTCATCATTAAAAACAAGAAAATAATGCAGCTCGGGGACCTGAGTGCCATGGTGATTAGTGGTATTATGTTCCACTGGCATTGTCTGAATGGAAGTGTTTGGATTATCATAAAATCAACTGTAAGTTTCACATGTTCTACAAATTACATTAAAAATGGTATGGTTTATTTCCATGTTTGTTCTATGTTCATTAGTTGGGTGCAGAGGTGGATAGAAAGTAGAAAGACAATAAAAAATAGAACTTAATGTGTGATTATCTCATAATCTTCTACTTAAGTACTTTCTGAAATAATGTCAAAATTATATATCTACCCCACTGCTAAACTGATAGTAAATCCAGTGCTGATTAACTGTTGGAATGGATCCTTAAATTTTTTTCTTTTTGTAAAATTAGTGTAAGATTTTCTAGGACATTTTAAATATGTTAAAAAGATAATCAATGGGTTGCTGTTTTTTCCTTTTTCCTTTTAGTAATGACTGGATGATATTAGACAATTTGGGTGTGCCATAAATATTGGTAATTCCTAATTTCATAAAATGCTATAGCTGCAAGGGACTTCAGAAAAAAAGCTAGTTCAGCAAATCACACAAGTAGTGAGTAGTGTCATACAAGAAAGTCATATTTTATTTTCATTTTTATTATTTGTTTTTTTAACAAACGATTTACCACTAAACTATAGAGACCATTAGTAGTCCTGAACAACAAAAATAAACACTCAGAGATATTACAATTTTTTTCTCCTAATATCAACTACTTTGTCAAAATAAAAGACAAATGCTAAATATTGGCAAAGTGGAGGAGATTTATTTTTTGGCTTCCTTTAAAAACTTTTTATTAGACATATTTCAGTACATAATAATTACATTCGTTGTGGAGAGTTGGTACATGTACATCACATGTGTTAATTCCTTTTTCATTCTTTTCCTCTCTCACACCCTACCTTCATCTCTTGATCCCCTTTCCTTTTGCAAAAATCTTATCTCTGTGTTTCCTTTTGTCTAAAAATCTTATCTCTGTGTTTCCTTTTGTCTATCTTTTATTTTGCATTTTATTTGTTATAGGATTTCTTATGTAAGGGAAACCAGGAAATATTTAAGCTTCTATGTCTGATTTTTTTACATAACATTATGGTTTCAAGATGCACCCATTTTACTACAACTGACTGAAGTTTACCCTTCTTTATGGCAGTGTAGTACATGATCATGTATAGACACTGCATTTATCCATTCATCTGTTGATGGATGTGTAGTCCACTTCCAAGATTTTGCTATTTTAAACTGTGCTGCTATAAACATGGTGGCATGTATCACTGTAGTATGATGTCTTTAACTCTTTTGAGAAGATACCTAGAAGGAGAATAGCAGTTCAAATAAAACTTTTAATTTTTGAGTTATCTGCATACTGATTTTCACAGTGGTTGTACTATTTTACCTTCCCATTAGCAATGTAGACAGGCTCCTTTTTCCCTGCAGCCTCAATGGCATTTGTTATTATTTGATTTCTTGGTAATAGCCATTATTTCTGGAATAAAATGGAAATGTTGTTTTAATTTTAATTTTTCCAGTGACCAGGAATATTGAACATTTTTTTCTATTTATCAGCCATTTTTACTTCTTGTGACAAGTGTCTCTTTATTTCAGTTTCTTGGTTCTTTTGTTTTGGAAGGTCTAATTTTTTGAGATTATTTTTATATACTGTAGATATTAGTCCTCTTTCTGAGGTGTCACTGGAAACATTTTTTCCCATCCTATAGATTTTCTCTTCAGTTCACTCTGTTATTGTTTCTTTTGCTGCACAGAAGCTTTTTAATTTGATATGACCCCATTTGTTGATTCTTGATGTTATTTCTTTCAGAGAGTGGTTACTGAACCTAACAGCAAGAAACTTGTGTACAGAAGCAAAGCAAAGGCAATTAGCCCAGTTGTGACCATTTTGTAACTTAGCATACCGTGGTGGCCTTGATCAGGTAAAAACAGGACCTTATGAGAGCAGGAGGTTGTGAAACCTTACTTACTGGGACAAAGTTACTAATTTAATTTGTAGTAGAACAAAGAACAACAGCCATAGGAAGGGGGAAGTCTAAGAGGGAATTTCTTAGGTTGGAGAAACTTGTTTTGCCTTCTTTTTAAGTTCTTCTTCAAGATAATCATGGGATTTTTGTCCTTGCTTCTGTTTATATGATGAATTATACTTGTGATTTATGTATGACCAACCATCCTTGCATTCCTGGGATAAAGCCTACTTGTAGATGAGTTTTGTGATTTTTTTTTAATGTGAAAAAATATATACATTAATGAAAGGCCTTATAAACTCAGTGTGTGGCTACTTATAATATTTGTATTGGTTTATTTATATATGTATCATGACTCTGTCCTGAAGTGACAATAATGAAGCACTATAATTATACATTTTAACATTTGTTCATTTTTTCTGACAACAGTTGAATGCCTGAAATATGTTAATATTGTCCTAAATTTTGGAAATACTGGTAAACAGAAAGGCCAAGACCTCTCCTTAAACGGCTTGCATTTTATCATGGGAACCAGACAATAAATAGTCAATAGGCAAAATAATATCAAGAAATGATAAGTTCAATAAAAAGTTATTAAGTAGGGAGGTAAATGTTCATAAATGCCATTTTAGTTAAGAGAGTGAAGGAAGGTCATTCTGAGGAGGTAACACTTAAGTAATGGCCTGAATGAAAGGAAGGAGTAAAAAATGAGTTCTGAAGTAATTCATAAGGAGGAAGAACAAAGCCTCAAAGTAAGCAGTAATTTAGAACAAGAGGATCCGGATAACTAAGGCAGAAAAGAGAAAGGAGATGGGGCAGAAAAAACACAAGGCAGAAAAGAGATAAGAGAGGTGGTTTGATGCCATTGGATTTTATTCTACAAATGGGAAACCACAAAATGGTGCAGAACAGAAAAGTGAAATGATCTGATACATTGTTAAAACATTAGCTGATGTGTGGAGCATAACCCAGAAGAGAAAACGGAACATGGTGACAATGCAGAAGAGAGAGGAATAGCAGCAAAAGCAAAGTCTTAGAGCAGTGAGAAGGAATGGGATACTGACCACAAGAGTTGGCACCAGAAGAGCACAGACTGCTGACCTCTCAGAACACACAGTTCTGCGGAGTCCTGGGGCAAATTCAGGAGGTGGGTACATTTGATGAGGGAAGCATGCAGGTACTCTTCTCCTTGCTTCTTTTTTTCAGCGTAAAAGAGAGAAATCAATCAGTTAAGAATGAGGAAAAATTGAAATGGTGTTTAGAGTTTAAAGAGAGAGGAGATAATGAGAAACTGTCATCCAAAAAGTGAGTAAGGGAATCGACTGAGTGGATATACACACATATATAAATCTAGATAGATGGATATGAGTTGGAATATATACATTTTATAACACATTTGGTATATATACTACACTCATATATATGTATACTCTAGTATATATTATATAGTCATACTCTATCATCTATCTATCTATCTATCTGTAGTATAAATTAGTTATACTTTTAGGAAAGTTTAAATCCTATGCGTAAGAACTTATAAGTTGTTGTCAGGACCCAGTGAGCTGTATTTATATGCATTTTTACCATTGCTGACATTGACTCTCACTGTTGATCAAGTCATTGCTATGACTCACCAAACACAATAAAAGTTACGGAAGGAAAAAGTAGTATTTCATACAGGATGCTATGTAGAGTGGACAAAGTGTTTGATTCCAAAGTCATGCTGAGAAGCTAATTGCTGTTTGGCCACATGTGCCATGCCATTTCTCACTCCTGATGTGGGGGCCTGGGGTCATAAGAAGGAAAGGGGGTAGGTACACCAAAGTCTTTCTGTTAGGATGTACCACATGCACTCAGTATGTAATGTCTGTTTATATATTTATCTTCATTTTCCTTTGTTCCAAAAATATTTTTTGGAAGAACAGTACTAGTACTTGGCAAATACAAAGTCCACAATTCATTAGTTTCTAAGAAGCTTGACAGTGAAACCTGGAGCAACAATTTTGGCTATTCTGTTTCATAAAGATGTTAAATCAAGGAAATTGTAATACTGTGATGAGATAATCTTAGTGGATTCATAACACAGGATTTGGGCAAAAATTAACTATGATAATGTATATAATGTAATGACAGGTATATATCAAGCACTCCAGAATCTTATTTGTCATTATTATTATTCTCATTATTGTTGTCATCTAATATTGGTATTATCAATATTTTGGGGTCAATATCATGAGAATACATTTAGATAAACATAAGGATTATTTTATACCTAAATCTATCTCTTGAGATTTAGTTACGCTGATGTGGTTGATTATGGTAAAGTTATGTTTACGAAATCACAACCTCCAAGACCAGTGAAGAATGGGCCATATTTTGAAAGGTCTTGGAATCCTTTACTATTAACTAAATACATATTAACTATTTTATATGTATATCTTCTTAATCTTCTAGTGATAATTACTTTAGAGTCATTTGAATACTTCAGCTCTCTATGATTGCAAAGTGTATTCAAACTGCCAAGTCAGAGACAACAGTTGCCATAAGACTTCACTCACTTCTGATCCCATCCACAAGGCCACCTTCATTTAAGAGCAGGCAGCCACAAATTTAGCGATACTCAGGATCATCTTTAGGTCTAATAATTTGCTGGAATGATTTTGATGACCTAGATCAATTCTGTGTTCCATGATAATAGACTATTATCATGAAAAGATACAAATTAGGTCAGATCAGTTGAAGTCTGGAAAGGTTCCACATCCTGTTCTTGCTGTTCTCCCCTATTGATACATTGAATGGTGCATTTGGTGCCCAGAGATTTTACTGGGGCTTGATCTCAAACCATTCATTGGGTCATGCTCTCTGGAAACTGGGTAGATCTGTATGTCATGGCTCAAGTCCCCATCACAAGTCACATTGGTAGACTGACTCATAACCAAAGCCCCACGCAAATGAGCAGAGCATTCTAACTCCAAGGAGATCACCTCTCAGTACTTGGGGGCAAAGGCCAGATCTCTTTATGGATAAAATTAATTTTTTGCCATACAGTGGATTTACCACTAATTGAGATAAGTTAAGATTTTATTATTTTTTTAGTTTTAGCAACTGCTTTAAAATAATTTAGTTTCATTATATAATTATTACAAAATATTGAGAGTTTCAATGTCACACAACAAAATAATGGATATTCTGAGAAGACCCTCATTTGTCTCTGTCCCCGTTACTTTGCTCCATCCTTCTTCAGGTAGTCTCTGTTCCAATTTTGTAGATTGCTTTTCATTTTTTTTTTTTTTTTTTTTGGTACAGGGCTCGAACTCAGGATCTTGTGCTTGTGAGGCTGACACGGTGCCACTGAGCTAAATCCCTGGCCCACTTTTCCTTTTTCAATAAAAGTAAACAAGTAAATGAATCTGAATGCCTTTCTTCCTATTTTATACAGAGTAGCCCTTTTTGGAAAAAGTTCTTCACCCCTGTCAGATCCATTATATGCATCTATATCTATCTATATGTATGTACACACACACACACACACACACACACACTATTCTGTCTCTTTGATCTACCTGATACCAATGAGACATTCTCCCAAATACTGAATATTTTTGTTGGGCGTGGTGGGGCAAGCCTGTAATTCCAGCACTCAGGAGGCTGAGGCAGGAAGATCACTGAGAGTTTGAGCCCAGCCTGGGCTACATAAGAGAGTTAAGGCCAGCCTGAACTGCCTAATGAGAGCTTGTCTCAAAAAAATACACCCAAAACAACAAACAAACAACAACAACAACAGCAACAACAGCAACAACACTACTGAACATTTTTAATAAGACTGGCAGGGATAGTCTTATTCTTGCCTTCTTTGTTTTCTTCAAGCATGAGCTTGACACTTTGGGGTTTCTGATTTAAATTTTAGGTTCAAGATATTCAGTTCTCCCAGATTGTTGTGATGTCTTCAACAGGATGTTGAAATGAATGTGACACATCTGTGCATATAGTTTGTGTTTTTCGGTAAATTTTTATAGTTTTATCTACAATGATCTTTTACATTTTTGTTAGATTTCTATGCACTTCATATTTTGATAATATTCTAAATAGTAGTTTAAAATTTTTTTGATATTCTGTTTGTGTTTAGTATGTAGAAGTGACATATGCATTTTAAATATTGATTTCAAATCTAGAAAATTTGCTAAAATTTCTACACAATATTATTTTTTCTAATGATAAATGTATTTATATTTTATTCAGTCCCTAAATCTTTTTTTCTTGCTAATCTGCATTGGCCAGGCCCTCAAATTTTTTTTTTCACTTGGAAAGCATCCCTATTTTTTCTGTTTTAAATCCCAAAGAAGTGAATTTCATTATTTCACCATGTTAAATGTTTCACTTTTATAAACAAAAAGGGATTTTTTTAGGCTAATAAGAGGGGTGCTTTTTGTTGTTTTTATTTTTGTTTTTGGAGACAAGGTCTCATGATGTAGTTCAGGCTATCATTGAACTCACTATGTAGCCAAGGCTGGCCACAAACATCTGGAAATCCTCCTGCCTCAGCCTCCCAAGTGCTACGATTATGAGTGTGCACCACCATACCCATCTACTAAAAGTTTTTAAAAGATATAAATTAATAATGGGCATCAAATTCTATGATTTTTCTATTTAAAAATCATATGCCTTTTAATACATTATTAATTTTAATAGGTTAATTGGTTTCTTTTCTGATCTTACACCATCATTTAAGACTAAAATTATTTATCCTGTGTTATTTCAATTTGTTCACAAGGGAATAGTCTTTTCATACATATTCATACATATTCAGTTTGGGAGTTTTACAACTTTCTTTGTGACAGCCTAGATTTTTCTTTTCTATCTCTCTGTCAGTATTAAGCTTGATATCAAGGTTATGCTAGGTTCATAAATGTGCTAAGGGATATCTTTTTGTTTTTTCTATTTGTGGAAGAGTTTGATTTTTATGATTTTTTTTCTAGAAAGTTTGGGCCTGGAGTTTCCAATTCAGAACATTTTTGTAAATTAAAAAAAAATGTCATGCTTTCATTAAGAGGAGACGAAAAGAAACAGATAACCTAGAGTATTTGCTGTAACAGGACGATTCTTCCTGCCTCTCAAGGATGCTGTAAGTTTAAGAGTCGTATCGATGTACAAGTCCCAGGGCAGTTCCTGACAAAGGGCACATGAATGCCTGTGTTGTGGGAAGATGTATTCTCTTTTTGTTCTTAACAGTCTCTCTAAGCTGTGTGGTAGGTGTTGTGGTCACTGTCATACCCATATTTTTTCCTGGGATCACAGGAGGACGAGAATTATTTTCTGTAGCAATGTCCACTCCCTTCCCTCTCTGGGCGTCTCACCTCTCTGCTCGCTGCAACTTCAAAGTCTTGGGAAATGAAGAATGTCAACTTTTGCTGAAAAATCAGGACCCTTTGTCCCACTCAGGGTAGTCTGTTTCTCATTATACAGTAGGAGACGCTAGTTGGAGAGGTGGTAGTCACCCCTTCAGCATCAACCCAAAAGGGCAGCGCCATAGAGATGAAGTATTTACAAGTTTCCTGTAATCTGAAATATTAGCTCTAGTGAAAATAAAAGCAGAATGGGATTTTGAAGGCTGAATTCCATTTCTGGCCCTGACATTCTATGATCTTTGATCAAGCATTTAACCTCTGCTACCTTCATCTCTGGCTGTGGATAACATAGGTAAATTCCATTGGGGACTAAGACTTTTGGATTTTGGTGGCTGAATCTAACTTTTGACATGCCACTCCTTTGGCAGTCTTGGCTGACTTAAGCGTTCTTTCGTTTTGCCCATGCAAAGTTAACTTTTGAGCTGTTTGGCTTTTGTGACTGCAGTTTCACCTCAGGGGTTGCCGTAGCAGTAATTAATTCCATGATACCGACCTGCACTAACTGAAGGCGTGTTTCACTGCTATCAGGAACACAAAAAGTTCCACTTTCCTACCTCCTTTTCTAACCTCTGCTCTATTTTTTTAATTGGCTCAGCAAAAAATGTTAAACATTGTATTTCTTTTACCTTAGAAATTCAGAATGAAAGAAACAGGGTAGTAATTGCACTGGGGACAAGTGGGAGGAGCCAATGTCAGGGAGAAGGGATAGCTGTCTAATCAGTGGCATGTTAGGACTGACATCCAGAAGTGGAAAGTTCCAAATTTTCATACGTTGGTCTTTTTACAATCTCACCTTTGACAGGTTAGTGTCATTACAGTGGATGCTGCCACTGTTAATATCCATCAGATTCTCTCCATTGAACTGTGCACATTAACTGCAAAATTTACAAAAGAAATGGTCATGTTATTTCCTCTTTTGAGCTTCAAAAAAATAAGAATTTCCCTATTAGTCAAAAGCCTCAGAATAGAATCACCATCAGCGTGTGCAGAATGTGTGCACAATGGTGTGTGTAACAGGTGTTGCCCACAAAGGGAAGATAGTGCCGGACTGCCCGGGAGTGGCTGTCTCAGGTCAGGTCCTGGCTTTCTGATTTTCTGGAAGTGCCTTTTATTCTGAGGCCCTAATTACTTCTCCAGTGACAATAAGAATATTGAAGTAGGTGGTCTTCAACTTCAATTAGTAAGCATTTCTGATGCAATTATTTCTAACTAGAAGTTAAATAAAATGTGAGATACCATCTTAATTAGATGAACACTTGTGTTTGGGCAAACCACAATCTCTGTTTTTTTATTAGTACATGTTTGCAGTACAGTGTTGGCATTCCTCGTGTGCAGTTGGTACATGTACATAACACATCTTAATCCCTTTTATCATCCTTCCCTCCTCTCCCTTCTCCCTTCCTCCATGTCTTGATCCCTTTTCTACTTGAGAAAGATCTATTTCCCTACTTCTTACCTTTGTTTTGATCTTTATTTATAATTTGATATGATATTTATATGTTTCTGATTTACTTCATGCAACATTACGGTCTCAGGTCTCAATGTGCATCCAATTTTCCTACAAATGACTCAAGCTTATCTTTCTTTATGGCAGAGTAGTATTCCATTGTATGTAAATAGCACATTATCTTTATCCATTCATCTGTTGATAGGCATATAGGCCATTTCTACGATTTAACTACTATAAATTGTGCTTTTATAAACACAGATACTGGTTTACATACCCACCAACAGTGTAGAAGGGTTTCTTTTTCCCTGCACCCTTGCCGGTATTGATTATTTGATTTCTTCATAATAGCAATTTGTTCCAGAGTAATGGAGTTTATGCATTTCTTTTTTTGTGTTAATGGAATGGAGAGGAAAATTCTACTCAACTCCCCGCCACCACCACCACCACCACGAAGTTGTTTTCTGGTTCTGAGAGTAAAAGTGTTTCCCAAACTATGTATTCCATCCTCCCTGGTAGCACAGACATGAAAATGAAATTGAAGAGACACCCTAACGCCTGCACTTCTGTCTGTGTGCACATGGGAAATGACTGCACTCAGGTGAGACTCATTTTCCTCCTTTGCGAAGTGGGATAGCTTCACAGGTTTGCTGTTGGAATTAGAGGAGATAAAATGTTCATTACTTAGAAAGGGTCTTAGTAAACAGAAGTAGGCAGAATAAATAAGTAATTGTTGTTTCTCAAAGAATTATTATTTTTTCCTGTAAAGAATCTGAGTCTCAGGCTTATGCAATGTGTATAGAGGATTCTATGCTGACTCTGTAGCTGACAAGGGACCAGATCTGTGAGTTGCTCTGCACTTAGCTGGGCATTCTCAGCTTTCCAGGTGGGTGGCTCTGGTGTGTTATCTTCCTTATCTAAGTGCACATTAATTATTGTCAGTCTGCTATAAGTATTTTTGTGCCTCCTTCCCATCTGTTGACTTCAGTTTAATAATCTGACCTTGTTATTAAAAATTTCTTTTTAAGTTTTATTGGGAGGACATTTTGTTGGTTAAAACTCAAGAACCTAATTTTTATCTTTCCATTTAAAGAAAGCAAATTGGAGATAACAGAAAAAAGTAGATGAGAGTTTATATAACTTCAGAGCACAGAAAGGGGGTGGGATTTTAACTTCTTTGGCGAGGTTGTGGGTGCAGAGGTAAGAGTGCAAATGGGATTGAGCCCGGATGTCTGTGTTTGGCTAAGGAAAGGAATACAAAGAGGAGGAAATCCCAGATTGTCACCAATGCTAAGCAAACTATTCCCCCTAGCAAGTGCTACCTCCAGAAGACACTTTTGTGAGCCCTCCAGTCATAGGATATCAGTCCATTGTTTCATAATGACAGCATCCCTGTCGCAAGTGAAACAAGGGACTGATATCCTTATTTCTCTTTTTCAGCTAAAAAATGATGTGTTATGACAGTTGAACTCATTTCTCCACTGCAGATACTACTCCAGAAGAAATATTTCAAAATATAAGAATTACCCATAAGAGGGTCATAAGAGTCATAAGATTTATGTGGCTCATTATTGTAGATTAGGATTATTCTAGATGTTTCAGTTAGTTGCTGAGTCCTCATTTCTTAAGCCTATCTGGTCCATAAAATGTAAGTGTTTATAATTCATTAAGGTCTTTCTAGCACAAAGAGAATACATTGCTACATGGTAATTTGGTAATTTGAGAGTAATACTATGTATTCTTTCCTAAAACTGAAAAGGTCTATCATATTTTTAAAATTTCAACAAGTTTAAGTTGAATATTTACTTATTGTTTATTAACTTATGACATGCATGTGTGTATTCATACTAGTATGTATGTAGCTTATTTGTATTTGTTCCTGGTTCATGGACAATACTCTGAAATTTATAGTTTGTGCAGTTTCAAATCCTGTTTGGACACAGAAGGGGGCACCGTACATTCACTTGGAAGTCATGAGTAGACCTAATGTGAGAATTTGAAAGTGTTATTGTCCACTGCATTAGATTATACAGTCAGAGGAATTCAAAGAAGAAAGCAAATATATTTATTGGATATTAGCAGAAAAGAAAAAATTAGATATGGATCTGTATTGTGATGAAACAATACGAAAGATGGTCACACTTATTTTACTTCTCATGTTAAAGGGTTAATAAGCACAAACAATTTAGGTTGAAGAAAATTAACTATGGAGTCATATTTGAGGTGACTTTAAAAGTCAGAAAAAGTTATAAATATGAGTTACTGAATACTGGAAAAAAGGGGGCGAAATTCTGAAAGTACTGTAAGATGAAATGCAGGAGGATTTTTGGCTTTGATTTTCTTTGGCTTCCTAACTTAGTTTTTAATTTCATCAAAGTCATACATGGACATAAGTTAAAAGTGACATATTTTATGAGTAATCTTATGAAACATAGTAAATCTAGCTCTCTTTCTTTTATTCTGCTTCTAGGAAGAAAATATGTTCACATTTGTGACTTCAGATTCTTTTTGTTTACTTGCTTTCAAACAACATACTTATATACTATGTCTTTGTCTAAATAACGTGCTTATATGTTATGTCCTGGTTTTTCAGACACCCACTTTCTGTCTTCCCATCCTCCAGTGTAGGTATTGAAATTTTTTTATGTCCTTTTCTCTTTCAGCAAATTTTTTATTTGCCTGCTGTTTTGAAATATTCTGAGATGTGTCTTGTGGGTACATTTTCACACACTTGTGGTGGACATTTAGCAGACAATTTAGGCTGGAATCTTATGTGCTATAGTTCTAGACAAGACATTGCAGTTATGTAGTTAATGACTTCTTTCATCTGTTTTATTTCTCCTTGAATTTTTTGTTATTTGGAATGTTTGTTCTAATTTTCTCATTTTTCACACCCATTTTTGCATGTTTTGTTCTTTCCCTCTACTTTTTAGGAGATTCCTGTGGCTTTAATCTTGGGTTCTTCCAATGGTGTTGTTTCCATTTCTGCTCTTTTTCTTTTAATTTCCAAAAGCTGTTATTTATCCTCAAATGTCCTCTTCAGATAACATCATTTTCATAGTTTATAGCTGTAACTTCCTTTCTTACCTATCAGAAAACATTAATGAATGCTTCGATATTCTCTTGTTCCATTATAGATTTGTTACCTGTGGCCCTTTTCTGTTGGTCTTGGGCTCCTGCTTTCTCATTAGAGGGTTTTCTTAAATACAGTAACAGCTCATTTATATTTCAGAAGG